CCCCAAAACCCCAAAACCCCAAAACCCCAAAACCCCTTTAAATTATTAAAATTTGAATTATGGAGTTTACTAGCAGCAATTATTCTCTAGAATCCCCAAATGAGAGATTTAACCTATTTGATCTCGATGAAAATGAGATATTTCTAAAGTCTTTACAAGTGAGTATGAATGACTTTACATCAGAAGAGTTCATACACGGAATGCTGCACCTAAACAGTCGTTCGATCATATTTGATCCAGATAATGAAGCACTTTCTCTTATAAAGATTAGATATAACTCCCATTTCGAGTTTGAATGAATCTCTCATGAACAAATAAGATGTGTCCATGATATGATAAATACGAGCAAGACCTCCATCAGTCATTTTGATAGCTCTAGTGCAGTCAGACAAAGTTCTGATGGAAAAGAGTCCAGAGGGTCTTCTCGTAAGAAGGAAGGAGGTGTGAAAAAGGGTAAAGCAGTTGCTTCTGGCAAGAACCTCACATCTTATTTAGACAAAAGACCTTCCTTTAAATCACATCCTAAGTCAAAGTATTCATCAAGTAAGATTTTAAGTATGATTTCTTAGGTCAAGAAAAATCTCCAAGATATACTCTGTCAGAAGTGTATGCAAATGGAGGGAAACCTTTCCCAATTGGTGAGAAGGTGTCAGAGAAGTTACTATGGATTGCCAACTTGTACCATTCTTTCTTAGAGTCTCCATCATCTTCGAGAGCCTTCAATCTCTTTGATATGATTCTCCTGAACGTTCATGATGCCTATCTACATCCAAGGAAGCCAAGAGGGCCATTTAGCATCAAGAAGTATAACTCTAGCTTCTGTTTTATCGTCAATGAAGCTCAGGAGAAATGAAGAGGCTTCTGTAAGGTCTTGAAGTATCTCTCAGGAGAGAAAAACCCTGATATCAAATGTAAGAACTACACTGATCAGCTGCTTAAGAATGAAAGTGATAATATCTCCTTTGAAAAAGAGAACGTATTGGGAGATAAAATTATTTTTAAGGAAAAAGCATCACGAATCCTTTCAGATGGTAACCAGGAGGGATACTTCTTGCTATGCCACTATAATAATGAGGGGAAAATAAGCCAGTTACATTATTATATTGAGTATATTCCATTGATCAATGGGATTGCACATGAGAAAAGCTTGAGATTTTCTGCTTCTGAGATAATAGAACTTTCTCTCTACAGATATATGTTTTCCTACAATGCAGTAAGGATCCAAACCAGTACAAGCAAGGAAGTCATATTCTCATTTGAGGATAGGAAGACAGCAGAAGTCATTCTTGAAAAATTATCTGAAAGTTGTCCTGACACTGTGGAGAAATTAAGAGATGACCTAGAAAGATACCAGAAAATGTGGGCTAATGGTTGGATGTCCAATTTTGAATACTTATTGTTCCTTAACAAACTAGCCAACCGATCCTTCTGTGATATATCACAGTATCCTGTCATGCCATGGGTTTTGAAACAATATTCATCGAGTGAATTAGATTTGGAGAATCCAAGGGTTTATAGAGATCTTGAAAAGCCTATTGGAGCTTTAAATGAGGACAAGCTTGAGAAGTACAAGACTAAGTATTATGAAGTTATAAAGCAGAGCTCTGATGAAGAGCCTTATATGTACACAACCCATTACTCCTCAAGTGGAATAGTGCTGTATTACTTAATCAGGAATATACCTTCACAAATATTGAGACTTCAGAATGGTGGATTTGGTCCAGCAGATAGGATCTTCTTTGATATTGAAATGTGCTGGAACAATTGCATAAATATTTTCTCTGATCTGAAGGAACTTATACCCGAGTTTTATACTGGAAGTGGAGATTTTCTAATCAATAAACATGGATGTGAGCTAGGTATTAACCATCTTAGTGAGAAGGTTGAGGATGTGGTTCTACCAAACTGGGCGGTAAACCAAAAAGATTTCGTCATGAAAATGAGACAGGCTTTGGAAAGTGAATATGTTACAAGAAATCTTCATCATTGGATTGACTTAATCTTCGGTGTAAAGCAAAAAGGTGAGAAAGCATTTTACGCAAACAACCTCTTCTACCCAATGACATATGAAGAAAATGTTAAACTTGACGAATGAACAAACGAATTCGAATGAAACGCTATTGAACTCCAAATCCAAGGATTCGGACAAACTCCAATCCAACTATTCTCCACAGACCACCCTGAGAACAACTGCCGCCGCTTACTCATAACCCAGCCCACCCCTTCAGCCCCTTCCGACCTCCTCCAATCCGAAATCTCCACCCTAAAATCCTCTCTTCACAAGTCCAAATAAACGGTAAGCCCCTCCCTCACACCTCCAGGCACGAAGAAGCCATCAGCGCACAACTAAAGGAATTCAAAATAATAGATATCAAGAGGAAGAAAAAGTTCGACAAGTGAAAACTAGAATACGAAGCACAGATCGAAGAGTACAAGAGGCTGGTCGAGTACTATAAGGCCAAAGTTGAAGAAGGCAGGAAGGAATAAGGATAAGTGTAGTAGGATAAGAAGGGGTTTTAAGGGAGTTTTAGGAGTCAGTGGGAGTTTAGGTGGGGTTTTGGGGTTTTGGGGTTTTGGGGTTTTGGGGTTTTGGGG